ATGTGGTATATCCATCTGCCGGTATATCCATGTAGTATGAATATGCGGTTGTAAAAGAAACGATTTTCAGTGATATGCATCATTATAATTGTTTGTCCTGATACGTGCTCCAGGGACTTTTTGAAAACTTGTATTAGGATATATTTATACAATATCTTTGACGGCATTTTCTCTTTTAGGTTACTGGTGCAAATAAAGGCATCGGCCATGGAATTGTGGAGCGTCTTGTAAAGTGTCTGACGCCGCAATCAGATTGGCATGTCTACCTCACTGGTGAGTGAACCGTCCCCATCATCATAAATCTGTTTTCACACAGCTCGCAATGTGTCCCTAGGCAACGCAGCTGTTGAGGACTTCGCCAACCAGAGTCTCCCTGTAAAGTTCCACCAGCTCGACATCACAGATAGGACGAGCCGTGACAAGTTTGCTGACTACATCAAATCGACTTACTCCGAAGGCATCAACATCCTTGTCAACAACGCGGGTATCAAATATGCAGTTGGTTTTCTTAGGATGGACCTGTGTATTACTAATTTCCCTTCTTCTTCAGAATGATTCCACCGTTCCTTTCAGTGAACAAGCGAAAGTCACCCTTGCTACTAATTACTTTGCTACTGTGGAAATGTGCAATACATTTTTGCCCCTGATGGCCAAACATTCCCGGTAACTTCAATGTGTTTTGTCCATTTTTTATGTCTCCTGTCAGTCTGGTCAATGTTTCTAGCATGTTCTCCATAATGGCCCTCAAGGAACTTAGCGATGAGCTTTACGAGAAGTTTGTGAATCCAATGACAATGGATCAGCTCGATGAGCTCATGCGTGACTTTATAAAGTACGTCCAAATGCAAGAATGGTCAAGGAGTTACGTCTTTTTTCTGCATCTGTAGTTTTTGATACCCCTGAGTAATCCTACGGGCTTGTCGCAACTTATTAACTTGCCTTGCCTTTTACCTGAAAACTTATCTGTTGTAATGGTGATACTTGTTCTGTGCCACCGTTGAATTTTGCTCTTTGGATTCCCCAAGGAAGAACAAAATAAGAAGAGCGTAGCTTTGAAAACTACCCGGAGGAGAGTTTATTGTTTACAAAACCCAGATTTTCTGTCTCGGGTGGCAGTTGCCGCTGACGTAAAGCCTCGGTGAGAAGCCCGGCGCTGGGGCGGATTGGCGGTGTCCTTTTCAGTCCACGTTGCAACCCACTGTCTGAGATGTGACAGTTGCTTAGAAGTAATTGTCAAGCTCGTTCGCTTGCGGTATGATTGGGCGTGTTTGAATAAAGTCACCTGCATGTGAGGCACTCAAGTGGCTCTTGAGGAACTGCGACCAGTTAGGCACGCGCATGGGCTCGCGTGCGTGTGTGCCCGGTCCAGAGGTTTAAGGTAATCGCGGGGGCCCAGTCACCTGTGAAAGCATATGATCTTGCGGCAGTCGGCTGCAGGCGCGACGCATCAACACAGCCGGCACGGTTATGCTGCCATTCGGTAGGGCTAGGCTTCTAACAGTTTCAATGGCACGTTGTCATAAATTGGCTAATTTGGTTAGCGACTGAAACTCTTAAATTGCTTGAAATTGGACA